TTGAAAATTTTACCATTATTTCTTTCCAATTCATTATAATGCATGAAAACTTTGAGAAAAAAATATGTTTCAATTAATTGACAATTTCCATGACTCCAAGGCATTTTAATACATTTTTTCGCAATTTTTTCATGCATTATAATGAATTGCCAAGAAATAATGGTAAAATTTTCAGTAATTCATTGAGGGTGTGGGTGTGGGTGTGGCTGTAGGTGCGGGTGTAGGTGCGGGTGTGGGTGTGGGTGTGGGTGTCTCGTGAGTGTATCTTGCATACTCACGCCTACACCCACACCCCATACCCACAACCACCCACACTCACACCCACACCGACACCCACACCCACACCCACACCCACACACCCACACACCCACTCCCACACACCCACACCCACACACCCACACACCCACACCCACACCCACACCCACACCCACACCCATACACCTACACCCACACCCTGTTCACGACTGAAAACATTGAAAACCAAATGATTCAATAAACGTTGTAGTTTCTAAAACTGATCTAATGGCTTGGGCTGAGTATATGAAATGCAAAATAATATAATGTAAGCGACTTAGAATCATTTTCATTTAAGTGCGTTCATAACAAACTGTAAAATTTCTTCTGCATTGCCGGTAACTTTGATTTCACGCCCACCTAATTCTGTTGCCCATTGTTGATGAAAAGATTTTTTCTTACAGTAAACAATGATAGGAATAGTCAAACGAAGTTTTCGGCATTCGATAACTAGCTCTCGTCCGCCATGTGCACCGTTGGTGATCAAAGCACAATTCATTTTGTCATCGAAAAATTTCGATTTTAAAATATTTAAAGTATCCTCGCTTGTTTTCGATTCATAAATATTGAAAGCTAAACGACGTCGCATATCTTCTAAGATACTTGAATTTACTTCATTGGCAATCTTCGCATCGCGCCAAATTGCACAATGATAGGCACGTCCTATGCCAACTATAAACAATGGTAATATTCGACGATTATCTTTAATAACAAATTCTTCATAGAACGGTTCTCCTTCGTTGGATATGGGTTCGCCACCATTGGGACTTGTGCGTACATAATGGCTATCATAGTTGGGATGCATTGCTTTGCCTCTATAACCCATGTTGGTAATCGTCAATGATTTACCAACAGCAACCAGACTGCAGATAATGTAGGCAAATACATCAAAGTTCCAAGATTTTGCATAATTCAAAGCTTTTCTCGGTGAACTAGTAAAGTATATACCTTGTCCATACCAACCGTCGTCAGTTCGTTTCGCTTTACTATGATACTGAAAGTTCTCTTGAAATATTCCATGAAGGTTTTCGATACTTGTACCATGAAATAGAATCTTTTCATTATCTTGCTTACGGTTATATTTTTCTTTGTATTGATTCACAAGGTTTTGATTGGCAACAAGTAATGCATATTCAAGTTTATAATCGAATGAACATTCCCGAAATGCATGCATTAGACATTGAGCAATTTGTTGACTCTTCTTTTTAAGAAATTCGTATTGAGCTTGATCGAGAATAGTCATGAATTGACTCATGCGAAGATTGGCATCGATAGTTTCTGGCGTGAGTCGAACTCGATCGATCTCAGTGTTGTCGAAGTTTTCCAATGCCACACGAATAGGATCTCTTTCTGAACTACTTCCCTTTGACCGATTTTCGTTCGCTTCAATAGCGATAGTAACAAAATTTTTACTAAGTGGTAAACTCATAGACAATAATCTGTCTTTAATATTTTCCCGTTTTACTTTATCAATAGCTATCATTACGGACAATCTTGCATTCAGACTGATAGTACCTTGCCGAGCTTCAATTAAAACTAAATCCTTCCGATCTATACCAATGTCCTGTGCAAGACAAGCTAGAAATTGATTACAATCGAATCCCAATGGTTCGACTGATAATTTGATGTTAATTGTTGGCAGATAATCGATCGATCGTTGTGAAAAGATAGGTAAAGGAATAAGTATATCTTCCGTTGTATTCGGAGCAACCTGTTCGGCAATTGTCAATAAAACATTTGGTAAAATATCTTCCCGTTTCGATGGAAATGAAATACCATAAATTTGATGATAAATAAGACTTTCAGGAATGCCAGGAATAGGCACGGTCTGCGTATTTGATTTCTCTTCGCACGGTTTCTTATGTTGAGACAATGGCTCGATGGAAGTTTTTGGATCATTAAGTGCGGTTTTTCTTTAAAAACAAAATGAATATAGAAATTGCATGACTGAAAATAAAAACTTTTCAAAAATTAGTCACTATAGTCAGCAAATGTCAGTCAATCGATTTGAACATGACCAAGTTCATGTCTGTTAGGGTGAAAATCCGAATAATATTTAGCTGTTTGCGTTAAAAAAACTGTAAATCTTTCTATAGAGCAAACTTTCTCGTTAGATTCAACTCAGTCTTAATTTATGCGCTTGTACAACTCGGCTTCTTAATAAACTAATTAGGTTCATTCTTACATTCGAAATCCCATCCGTTCTATACAAAGCAAAATTAATACGGCTTAATTCAGTGGAACATACTTTTTGTGAGAATAGTTATTTCATGAAAAAGCAGCACAATATGATGTTTTTTGAACACTTTCATTGCTACTAGTAGTTTCTTTACGATAACTCAAGCATCATCTGATTGGGACTCAATCTGTTGCCATAAAGTCCTTGAGAAAGCTTGTGAATAAATAGCAAGTCATTTAAAGTTGAGCAATGAAGAAGACACTGTAATTGTAATACTCATAGATAATTTAAAATCGAATATTTTTCGAAAGTCAGTTCGAAACTATCGTAGAAATGATGAGTAGATAACTGCGAGATTTTATGTATTGGTGATCGGATTGCAGTGCAAATCGAAAGGTGAAGTAGATAGATCAGGTTTTTCGGATGGACGAGGATAATAAGAAACTTTGCTTCTCTACAATGCAGCTTTCTATTTGTAGAAACAATCATTTTCTCTTGGATTTTTAGACTAAGGCAGTCTCACCTGAATTTAGAGACTTTCAGATGCTAGAATTTACAATAAATTAAATGCATAGTATCTAGAACAACAGTTCATGCGCCCTACAAAAGAGACTGAGACAAACCTCTAACCAGCAGCGGTTTAAATTTTTCCTGAACATTTATGTTCAGTGAATTTTAAGAACTGCGGGACGGAGTACCTGCGTTTTCTTTATTATGATTCGAACTTTTGGACGATCATTGTATAGAAAAACTAAGTCAGTAGTTGATGCGAAACAGGATGGTATCGAAGTAGAGAAAATTATTTAAAGTTAATTAAAAGTATTTGATGCACAAATGATATTGCTCAATTCAATACGAAATTTTGCTTAGGTCGAGAATAAAAGTTATTTTTTGTATCATTTATTCAACTGACGAAAGCACCTTCCCTCGAGTTTTCATTTTGAAAGTTGAAGAAAAGCTCCAGAAGAAATACAGGGTCGGAAAGAATATTATTCAAGGGGGGTAACGATATAATCCCAAATAGGAGGTATGATGAATTTTATACCAAATGAAAGCCCGTGAAAAACGGGGTTTAGTGATGCTAAATACAAAGGCTTTGGAAAACTTTCATATGTCAAACTCTGAAAAGTTCCGATTTTTCATCCATGAAAGTCATGAGAAAACTAGTTTATCATATAGTATTCGAATTAAAGGCATTAGAAAATAGTTTCTTTTTTTATTCTTTAATGAATATAATCAATAATCTGTGTGACGACCATTAGCATTTTTTACAGCACGAAATCGAGATGGATATGAGCATAGAAGAGTTTCAAATAGTTCAGTATCTTCTTCCATGCTTGCTAAAACATTTGCGACGTGCATTTTGAGCGTTTCTTCAAGATATCGATTATGTCCACTTTCCGACGACATTTTTTTTTCAACTTCATCTTTGATTATTGATCCGATGTGTTCTGCCACATTGAGATCAGGTGAATTTCCTGGCCAGATATCATTACCCCAAAACTTGACATCGTTGTCTTGGAGCAAATGTTGAGTTTTATTTGCTCGCATACACGGTGCTTTATCGTGAACAAATATAACTTCATCAGGATCAATAACATTTTCTTCATTTTTTAAGAAAGGAATTACATTTTCAATCAAAACAATATCGCGAAAATATTGACCTGTCCAAGATTCCCCTTTATCTTTGATAATCCATAGTAATCTTTTGCAAGTAAACATTATAAAAACTCCAACACATGATTGGTTTTTTACCATTTCACGATATCTTTCATCTTCAGTAACGTCTTCAATACTTTTCGCCCAGATCCTATCATTCTAATAATTTGGTCGACGGACAGTCCAAATATAAAATTCATCAGATGGTGCCAGATGAAGAAAATCTTCTACAGTCCAATCTTTTAACCAGTCACAGAGCCATAATCGATCTGATATATGAGTTTCAGATTTTAACGGTTTTGGAATAACATGAAACGGTTTTAATCCTTCTCTGTGACGGTAATTATTAATTGTTCTTCCGGTGGCATATTCTTTTTGCTTTTCTGCAATCTCCTTTGCCACAACAGGACCGCTTTTTCTTTGTTGACCACTTGCTTGACGAATAATTTCTCGACTAGCTTCTGATAATTTAGGTTTAGCACCAACATTTGAATAATCAGCAAAGCATTGGTCATATGATTTTTCCCACCACTCCGAGACAAATCGAGTTGTGCGATGAATTTTGTCCGCAATCCATTGTCTATTTATAAATGTTGCACCAGCATCGCGAGCTTCACGAAAAGCGATGCACTTGATCCTGTCAATCATTCTCTGTTGTTCAGTATCACAAGCACCAGCCATTTGAAATAACAAAAGTGTGATGATTTAACGAGACGATGAATTTTATTATGATACATATCGATAAGAAAATTATCTTTTATATCCCACGATGTATCTCCAAAATTTCTCTCCACTATGACTTTCGTGCAGAACGAAAAGAAAAAAATCTTTGATAGAACAACTAAAATTACAAGTAGTAAACAAAAGAACGCAAGAGAATCATCTTGTTTTCTGAATTATAGTTTGTGTTTTCTAATCGTTACCATAACCTTCTGTGATTTTTTTTCTATAAAACTCTTCATTTTCAATATCTTGAAACTCATTAAAAATGAGTTATAATGATTTTTTTTCAACAAAACGCAGTCTTTTTATGGGTTTGATGTATGAAAGTTTTCCAAAGCCTTTGTATTTAGCATCACTAAACCCCGTTGTTCACGGGCTTTCATTTGGTATAAAATTCATCATACCTCCTATTTGGGATTATATCGTTACCCCCCTTGAATAATATTCTTTCCGACCCTGTACAGAAATCCCAGCACGTGATAAAACTCTTTGAAAAAAGTGAAACTGCTTAAGTTTAAGACGCCTGATTGTTGTCGATTCACCGATCACACACCGTTGTGAGCGGCTTCTCTCCGCATCATCGTTTTTTTCTTTGTGGCCTTCTCTCTCTCTCTTTATCTTGTGCGTATTAAAATACTTCTATTCGCATATTGCTCGTGAGCCATTCTTGGCTCGTTTCTTATCTCCTATTCTCCCCTCTCATATTTGCATTTTGTTTCTTGCATGAATATATAAAAGAAAAAAATCAGAAACAACCCAAAACTGTTGCATGAATGCCGGAAAGAACGAAAGGTATTGTCATTGTTAGGAAAAACTAAAGAGAAAAAGGTATTCGTTAAGTGGAAATTTATCCAAAAAATCAAGAAAACTGTGCGAAAAAGCGTTTCCTTCGAAATCTTAAGTAGAAATTCGCAGTCATTTGTTGAAAATTCACCTCATATGAATATATCCAGAAAGAAATTGAAAGAATCCTATGTTTTTTATGCCCCGGAATGAAAAACAGATTTGGATCTTTGCATTTTGGACGATTATTTAAAGTGTGAAGTTAACAAGTGCTGGAACAAAAAAAATACTTTATTGCCTTCCAAAATTGATTGAAAGCATTTCAGACGAATCAAAAACGATAGATCTCGAGCAGATTTTTTTTTGTTCTTTCTGGATATGGGCTTAGAAATATTATATCCATATTTGTTCACGAGTAATGAAGAAATCTTTGAAAGTTTCTCAAAAAAGTATTCGTAATAGTAAGCCAACAGGTTCTTGTTTACTTCGTAAGTACCTTTTCAAACACGCTACAAATCGTCGGAGTTTATCATTTTATAGAATGAACAGTTTTCTACAAAATGTCATATTGGAGTAACTTTTAGCTTTTATTCGAATGAGGTTATATATATTGTCAAAAACTCCATTCAATGTCAAACATTTTTTCAACCAAACTGTCGATATGTAGATCATCTTTTGATGTACAGGTTGATATATACATAAATATCTGACTGTTGAGTTTCGATCAATAACAGTAGGGAAAATACTAAAATCCGTGAAAAAAGTTTCCGTCCGAACTCGATTTTTGGGACTTTCCAGAAACTAATTCACTATTCTTAAACAAAACCTGAGACTACATTTCTAAGCTCATCTTCAAAAACAATACAAACCTCTGGTTGTAACGCATAGCTTTTAACCAAGTAGAAAAACTTTAGTGGGGCAAAAGTAGAAAAAACTTTCCGATCGCCCGTTATCGACACATCAACCAGTCTACTTTAAAACAAGAGAGAATGCCAAACAAACACAAACAGTCAACAGAGCTCATGCAACTATTAAATTTTCAATGGAATCCATCGAGAAACTGAATTGTCAATCACAGAAAATGTTGATACTGTTTGAGCAAATAGAGAACAAACGAGAATTTATGACAATGACACCGATCTCTTAATTTGGAGAAGTCGCAAATAGTGCTCTTTTGAAATAATTAAAAATTTACTTGAGCCTACGGACTAAAATTCAGCAGCTACGCCATTCTTTTTGTACGCACAGTGCCGAATGGTTGAAAATTACTGAACAGATACTCGAAGACGCAAAGGTACGAACACTGCGGTTCTTCTTTTGTTGAGTCACTACTTTCCGCTCAAACTAAACCGCAGATACTTTTTTTACTAAATGTATGACTGTCTTTCGGTAACTATTTGTCCATAAAATGAACTGTGCGTGGATAGATGGTATCATCTTGACTAAAGCCTCATGCTCAACTAATTCAAGGCAATGTTCGTTCGATTTGAAAGCAATACATTTGATTGTTGGATTTCGAAAATAGTTATATCTCTTTTGTGTGCGTGCCCTTTTTTTTGTTAACTAATTTAACTAACGCATCGCTGGATTGTTGATTCACGAATAGATGAATTTCAGAAGAAAACTCTTTGTTGTAACTACAACTGAAACAAATTCGAACAATTTGTCTGTCATCAAGAGAGTTTTCTTTACGTAACATGTTATAGGGTGAATTTTGAATACGTCTGTTTTTCTCTTTCTTACGGAAGTACTACAACCGACACATTCCCGCATCCTCTCATTTTTAGGGTGTGGGTGTGGGTGTGGGTGTCGGTGTGGGTGTGGGGTGGGTGTGGGTGTGGGTGTGGGGTCCGGGTATGGGTGTGGATCTACTCTTTAAGCAGTCTTAAACCCACACCCACACCCACCCAAAGCCTGTCTGTCACGGTCGGTGATGGGTCCAGAGGCCCGTCTGTCACGGTCTGTGATGGATCCAGAGCCTGTCTGTCACGGTCTGTGATGGATCCAGAGCCTGTCTGTCACGGTCTGTGATGCGTCTAAAGCCTGTCTCTCACGGTCTCTGATGGGTCCAAAGCCTGTCTGTCACGGTCTGTGATGGGACCAGAGCCCTGTCTGTCACGGTCTGTGATGGGTCCAAAGCCTGTCTGTCACGATCTGTGATGGGTCCAGAGCCCTGTCTGTCACGGTCTGTGATGGGTCCAGAGCCCTGTCTGTCACGGTCTTTGATGGGTCCAGAGCCCTATCTGTCACGTTTTGTGATGAGTCCAGATCCTGTCTGTCACGGTCTGTGACGGGCCCAGATCCTGTCTGTCGCGTTTTATGATCGATCCAGAGCCTGTCTGTCACGGTCTGTGATGGATCCAGATCCTGTCTGTCACTGTCGGTCATGGGTCTAAAGCCTGTCTGTCACGGTCTGTGATTGGTCCAGAGCCCTGTCTGTCACGGTCTGTGATGGGTCCAGACCCTGTTCGTCACGGTCTGTGGGGTCCAAAGTCTGTCTGTCACGGTCTGTGATGGGTCCAAAGCCTGTCTATCACGGTCTGTGATGGGTCCAAAGCCTGTCTGTCACGGCCTGTGATTGGACCAGAGCCCTGTCTGTCACGGTCTGTGATGGGTCCAGACCCTGTCCGTCACGGTCTGTGGGGTCCAAAGTCTGTCTGTCACGGTCTGTGATGGGTCTAAAGCCTATCTGTCACGGTCTATGATGGGTGCAGACCCTGTCTGTCACGGTCTGTGATGGGTACACAGGCTGTCTGTCACGGTCTGTGATCGGTCCAAAGACTGTCTGTCACGGTCTGTGATAGGTCTAAAGCCTGTCTTTCACGGTCTGTGATGGGTCTAAAGCCTGTCTGTCACGGTCTGTGATTGGTCCAGAGCCCTGTCTGTCATGGTCTGTGATTGGTCCAGAGCCCTGTCTGTCACGGTCTGTGATGAGTCTAAAGCCTGTCTGTCACGGCCTTTAAGGGTCCAGACCCTATATGTCGCGGTCTGTGATGGGTGCAAAGGCTGTCTGGCACGGTCTGTGATGCGTCTAAAGCCTGTCTGTCACGGTCTCAGATGGGTCCAAAGCCTGTCTGTCACGGTCTGTGATGGGTCCAGAGCCCTGTCTGTCACGGTCTTTGATGGGTCCAGAGCCCTGTCTGTCACGGTTTGTGATGAGTCCAGATCCTGTCTGTCACGGTCTGTGACGGGCCCAGATCCTGTCTGTGGCGTTTTGTGATCGATCCAGAGCCTGTCTGTCACGGTCTGTGATGGATCCAGATCCTGTCTGTCACGGTCGGTCATGGGTCTAAAGCTTGTCTGTCACGGTCTGTGTTGAGTCCAAAGCCTGTCTGTCATGGTCTGTGATTGGTCCAGAGCCCTGTCTGTCACGGTCTGTGATGGGTCCAGACCCTGTCCGTCACGGTCTGTGGGGTCCAAAGTCTGTCTGTCACGGTCTGTGATGAGTCTAAAGCCTGTCTGTCACGGTCTATGATGGGTGCAGACCCTGTCTGTCACGGTCTGTGATGGGTACAGAGGCTGTCTGTCACGATCTGTGATGGGTCCAAAGACTGTCTGTTACGGTCTGTGATGGATCCAGAGCCTGTCTATCAGAGTCTGTGATGGGTCCAGTTCCTGTCTGTCACGGTCTGTGATGGGTCCAGAGCCGTGTCTGTCACGATCTATGATGGATCCAGAGCCTGTCTGTCACGATCTGTGATGCGTCTAAAGCCTGTCTGTCACGGCCTTTAAGGGTCCAGACCCTATATGTCGCGGTCTGTGATGGGTGCAAAGGCTGTCTGGCACGGTCTGTGATGGGTCTAAAGCCTGTCTGTCACGGTCTGTGATTGGTCCAAAGCCTGTCTGTCACGGTCCGTGATGGGTCCAGATCCTGTCTGACACGGTCTGTGATGGGTCTAAAGCCTGTCTGTCACGGTCTATGTTGGGTCCAAACCCTGTCTGTCACCTACTGTGACGGTTATTTAGCTAATTAAATAGGAATTAATTAATTAATTAATTAGCAATTGATTAATTAAGATGTCTGTGGCGGTCTGTGATGGGTCACGTGAGTGTCTGTCACGGTCTGTGGGGGGGTGGGGGGGAGGGGAGGGTGGAAATTTCTACCCCTAAACACTTCAACACTCCTTTCAGATCGTGTTTCTCAAAACTTTACTTTTCTTTCCATATATCTAGGGTAGATGTAGATTGCATCAATGATGTTGTATTGCATGGATCAGATTTATCGGCATCTTGATTAGCGATTTTCAAGTAAACGTCAAATAAATCTTTCGGTTCGTTGATATTCAACACTGTTCCGTTCATAATCTCATTGATTTGCTTTGGAGTTTCCAGATCGTCTTTGCCTAGCATGATTGTCCAAAAATGATTGATTGTCGAATAATAGTTGTTCGATAATTTTCTTAACTCATTGAATGGAAATTTATCAGGTTTTCCCTCCATCATGAGGATGATTGTATGTTTTAGCCCTTTCAACTTTGAATCCGCCTGGATGGATGCTAGCACATCGTTGATGTTCATAAATGCAGCCAAAAAATCGATTGGCTTTTTACAATTTGAAATCGAATCGTTTATTTGAGTAGAATTTATTTCATCTAATCGTGTTACTCGATTCAGACATATTGCGTTTGGACCGCCAACAATCAATGTCATTCGATCAGTAACAAATCGTTTTTTCTTAATGCGAATACGAATAAATTCGTCAATGACCTTTGGTAAATAACTTCGTAGGGTCGGTCGATCTTGATCAACATCAGTCTCTGTACTAAACAATAATCTTTCAACTCTTCGAAAGATCCATCCCGAAAGCCCATCATTGGCTATATTCGAATGATCCGAATATCCGAATAGAAGAATAAAATGATCCGGAACTAATTCATAGTTCGGCATAATGAATTCCATATCGTTTCTATAATATTGACATAGTTGGTTACTGATTCTATTCCATATATAAGTAGAAACATCAATTTGATGACGTTTCAAGTTTGATTCAGCAAAATCCCAATCTAAATGAATATTTTTAAAGTCTTTCCAACATATCGGCGAAGAATTTTGATCAGCTATTGAAAATTCCTCATCTTTCATTTGCTCACAAGATACTATAATCAGTTCGTTGCCTTTTGCGTAGCGAACACCTCCGAGAGCTTGAATTTGATGACCTGATTGGCATCGATGTCTATTTTCTCCTTGTCCGACTGGTGTAGCATTGTGCAACCGATGATCAATATCACATAAACGCTTACAGCCAGGGCATTGAGCTTGACAGCCAAGTGTCTGAATAAGCAATTGTTCTCGTGTACTACGGCAACTGTTTTCAGCGAAATCAATGATGTCACTTTGAAAGACTTTTTTTATCTTTCGTTTTTGATTGATAATTTTATCGAGAAAAAAACCAATGTAGGTGATATTATACGTTTCAAATGTACTTTTCATTAAATTAAACGTATCTTTCATTTGATTGGTCAGTTTTGGCATGCTATTGAGTATTTCTTGCCATTTGGATTGAATTACATAGATGGAACCATTTCTAAGTTGTATATGCGTCGACATAGATTCTTCTGAAAAATATTGATAAATAAGTGTAGCCATACATAATTTCTTATCGAGTAGATTTGGATTAACATCTCTACTAGCCGGTTCGAATAGATCATTAACAAAAGTCAATGAATCGCCACATTTTAATGTGAAAACATTTTTCATTGCTTCTATTGTGTGAAAGAATTCAGCTATTATTTCTAAATGCGAATTCATAATGATTTTGAGCCGTTGTTGAGTTTTTGTTTCGACTTCTCCCCATCGTTCATCGAATCGTTCGATGATTGCTTCGTTTGGATGAAGAACATAATGTAGAAGCCAATCATCTGTAGCCTCGTAGACTTCATCATCAAGCTCTTTCATGATGGAGTACCGGTTCAGTCTCACTTGTTCATTTTCAACACATTGTTCAATGATTCCTTTTGCTTTCTGATCAAATGATTGACGCAATACATCGCAAAGCTCATTGACAAGATTAATAGCAACATTTTCATCATCGTTGTCTTGAATTACAACCATGCGAAGAAATCGATCTTGCCATTTAGCCTTATTCTGATGTATCAACATGAGTAAGTTATTAAAATGAGTTTTATGCCGATCATAGTAGAACAAAGAGGTCGATAGTACTGCACAAATGTGCAGGATGCTTTGTAAACTTTTTGACACAGAAAAATTGAATATATTTAGTTCTTGATTCATATCTATTATTAATTTATTGACTGTTCCGAATATATCTTGTAGAAGAGTAATTTCAGTCAAAGTTTGTTCGTTAATTTTTAACTGAAAGATTTCACCAATGCGTTTGATTAGCACCTCGAAACAGTACGATACACGAACAGTCTTTGGCCAGTTGTTGTTAATTTCCTGAGAAAAAGCTTGCCCTACATTTGAATTCAAAGTACTTCTTGTTCGTCTGTGACTACTGTTGTTAGTGCGAAATATTATCACCAGTTCGTCATTGTTGAGAAATTCATACAGTCTCTGTACTCTCTAAAAAAAAAAGGAGCTTTGCAGAACCCTTCGAAAAGGTTCTGTAGATTTCTAAAAGACTCCAAATGTGTCCAAAGTCTCAAAAAAAGGATAAAAAATTCGACAGAACCTTTTGAAGGTTCTGTGGAGTACCCACTAGCAGAACCATCTCTTGCAGAACCTTTTTTTAGGTTCTGTAGAGCAAAAAAAGGTTCTGTGAAAAAATATGAAACCTTAAGGGTTCTGTACAAAACCATTAACGTTTCGTGAGAAACCTTAAGGGTTCTGTACAAAACCATTAGGGTTTCTCACG